TTCAATTTGTGTTTAAATTTAAAAAAAAAATTTTTAATTAGCAAATATTTATTAATCCATTACAATAATTATAATTTTCTATAAATCAAAAAATGATCATTGTATCATCATTAATTTATTATGTGAACTTAATTTTAAAAAATTGAAATTCATTAAGATTTTNAAATATATAATATTGTATATAATAATTATATATTTAATCACTATCAGGTTGCCGCATTTAAATTTATACTTTAAATAAAATTGTATTTAAAATTAATTTTTTATCTTGTCAGCAATTTTTTAATTTTTTCTTACTTTACATGGAATTAATTATATTAAAATTCTATGGAATTTAAAAATATTATATCTATAGTTTTGCTAATCTGAAAGAAAGATTGATTTACAAAAAAATAGTATTTTTTTTTTTTTTTTTTCTAAAATGAAAGTAAAAATTTTGATCACTATATATTTAATAATATTTAATGATAATAAATTTTGTCCAATTTTCTTTTTGAAAAATATTTTTAAATATTTTTATCTATAATATTTATAATACGAATGAAAAAAAAAATAATTCAAAATTATTTATATACATATAAAAAAATTTTTTATATTTTTCATACATGTAAAAAAACAATTATTTATTACTTTCTTCTAATTTGAAATTTTCAATTTGTGTATTTTCGTAGTATAATTAATGAAAATAGTTGTTCTATGATTATTTATGTTTTGTGTATTACATATATGATTTATTATTATATATTTATATTTATATTTATTATATATATATTATATATATATTTATATTTATATTATATATTTATTATTATTATGTTATCATTATGTTATTATTAATTAAATTATTAATATTGATGATTTAAATTTCATTAATAATATTTTATATGAGAACTCAATTAAATTTAAAAAAAAAATTATTTTTTTTGTATTAAAAACTTTGTTTAGAATCAATTTTCATGACATGATTTTTTGCTCATTAGTAATGATCTAATTTGATATTTTGAAATAAAAAAATTTGTTTTATTTATTTAATTATATTTTATCTATTATTTTATTTCCATAATAACAAAAATAAAATAATTATTTTGTTAGCATTAGATATAAATATATATAATATATATAGATATAAATATCTATAAATAAATATTATAAGTTGTTATTTTCTGAGATATATTATTTGAGATTTATGATAGTATTTATATTAGAACATATGAAATAATATCGAATTATACTAAGAATTTTTAAAAATATTAATAAATTAAAACAAATATTCGCTAAAAAAAATATATGAGTTTAAGTAAATTTTTTTTTACAATTTAAAGATTGATACAGGATAAAATAGTTATGAAAATACAAGTCATGTTTTTTTCTCACATCGATTGCGTATTGAATTATGAACAGATACTACGTGTATAAAATATTTAATTGAATTTAATAGGAAAAATCACAGTCATTTTTAAATGCATAGTGTCACTTTGACATCATGTCATCAGTTGAAGATCAATGATGAATAATATTATATTGAGATAGATATTTAATTATATTTATTTATTTTTATTATATGATTTAAATTATAATTTATATTATTATTTATATTATTTATAATGTATATTTGAATTTATTTATAGTAAATTTATTTATAATATATTTATTTAAATATAATAAATGATTGATATACGTGATTCGATAATTCTGCATTAATTTGAAAGAAAGAATCTAAGAAAGATGATGGTCAGAGATGAAATTACGAGATGTTTTTGATATTATTTTTAAAATAAGATTTTAGATTCATAAATAAAAAAATGGCCTATGATTCATAAAAGTTTACTAAAAAAACAAATAAATACATGAATATCACAGTTGATAAAATTATTTATTGCAGCATTCACCGTAAATTATTGATATACGATAATAAATAATGAATCTAATTAAAATAGTTAGATAATTAAAGAATATTAAATATAATTAATATTATATAATATTATAATATATATAATATAATTTAAGAATTAAATTTCAATGATATTTTTATTGAATTTTTTTTCCTGTAAATAAAATATT